CGAGCATTCCGATAAAGAGATAGGAGAGAATAAGGATTTTATACACAAAAATATCGGTGACTTATGGCCATCATACCGGGGACACGAGGAAGCACGCTCGACGGGCTTACTGCTATTTCGTTCCTCTTCCCTATGCATCCGATATGCCTTCGCGTAGCACACCCCAAACGCCAATAGGAGGAGCAACACGCCTGCCAAGGAGACATAGATAGGGTAGATAAAATCTACATAAAATCTCGACATCAACCCCACGTCCGCGTCCTGAACCTTACTAACGTCCCTTAAATGCAACTTCGGGATCGTGACGTTGAGTGTCGGCAAGGTCAGGATCGCAGGCTTAATCGCTATAGGATCTGCAGCGACGACCGTGACGATGGACTTTATTGCCGGAATTTGCAACAACAAGGAACGTAACCCGCAATGATGAGGTAGTACAAAGGTTCCCTGCAACTTCCTAACTGGCTGAAGCTCCTCGCAAGCAATTGTGGCGACCATTGGCTGATAAAAATAAATCAGTCACCTGCGAAAGGCTGAGCATGAAAGGTGAGAGCTGATCCTGAACTTCCTCGAAGGAAAAGAGGGAGGTGATCAGCCCTCCGGAAACAAGAGCACGAGCACAAGATGGAGTCTGAAGAGAAGAAGGTAGAGGTGAAGAAAAGAACACGAATGTGTCCCTAGTAGGCTTTGAACAAGAGTCTAAGAAGTCGGAGGAAGGGAAAGATAAAGCATGTCCTCCTAATTCTCGAAGAATGAATGTGTGCGGCACGTGAACCATGTAATGTGAGTTATTTATTTTGTGTGGGAAAGAGTGTATGCGGTACGCCTTAAAGACAGTAGAAGGACGCACTGGAATAATAACAGACAGCCCTGAGGAAGTGGGGAAGGACCTCAGGCTGGCGTAAAACCGAGTGCGTTTCGTTAAGGGGAAGAGAGTCTTGAAGGAAGACACTCTCTGAAGTACCGCGCCCATGTCGGTAGGCGAGATTAGGTCAAGTGACACCTCTCCGTGCGCCGCACGAATGAGAGCCGATGCCATACTTGTCACTCGCTGTATAAGCTTGTTCATCGTGCTCTGGTATGAGAAAATAGTTTAGGTTAGAGAGGTAAGATGAGACACCTTGTTCACTGTACCTGCAATGTGACCGACCTTACTTCGCACAATATTAAAGTCAGAAGCTAATTCCTGATAAGATGCGGTCGAATATGCGAACGTCGTGTGAATCAAGAGAAGAGTCAATAGTGAGATTATCACGAAGAGAGAGTAACTGGCCCCTGTGATATAGTATGAGCTTTGAAGCGTTGCGTAGTGGCAACAGCGAGAACCGGGCCTCCACATGGCTAGTTATTGGAAAGACCTTCCGCAGGTCCTCAATCATAGCCCCAGGTGCGTCCATCACGTTATGCGGCAGACGGTGCGAGTCTCCTCCCATGAGGAGTGCCACAAGGAATATGGACGACAGCATCCTGGAAGGGAGAGCCAGATATCACTTTACCACTCGCAAACTCGGCATGGTAAAATATATCACAAAAGTCAGCATTGAAAAGGAACCAATATGAATGGGTGATAATGATCATGAGAAGATACAGGTAACGTATACAACTGCAGCTGATGAGGTACCGAACTATCAAGGTAAATGACAGTACATCTCCAAGGTAATCAAATAGTTGACATAACTCTACGGGAGTAACACATAAGCATGAATAACTCTCGAGAACTAATGCAAATAGAATAGATAATGGGATGATATGTCTTAGCAAGAATGAAGGCAAGAGGACCACCTATGATTCCTGGCACTGATAATACTGATCAGCCAGCTTTAGGACGTCAAAGTGGAACCACTGCACAGAGCCATCAGCGACAGATTTGCACTCTGCCTGTTGTTTGTTGTTTTTTACTGCTACAACTGTGTAGGGACCCGCAAATAACGGACAAAGCTTAGGCCGAATAGTGCCATGAAAATTAGCTTTCCTAAAAACCAAGGAACCAACACCGATAGTCTTTGCACCAGCGATCTTATGCTGGTACTCAATAATTCTATCTCGTGACCTGGTCAGGAGTGCCTTTGCTTGCTGAAACGCTCGCTGTTGCCGAGAAACCAAATATTCAGCATAGTTATCTGCATATAGGGGGCGCGGTCTCATTTCCAGGAGTTCGTATGGCAACCGCTTGTCTTGCCCCGTGAGAAGAAAATGTGGGCTATCGCCCAGGGAAGAGTGATAGGTAGAGTTGATGGCCGACTGGACGGTGGGGAGAAGAACGTTCTAATCGTCCTGGCTGTCGTCCACCAACTGACGCAAAATGGTGAGAATAGATCTATTTAAACGTTCCGTGATGCCATTAGCCTGCGGACGGAACGGCAAAACATTCACCTGCGTCACATTTAGCTGCTGTGTCAGACTGGCTAACACCTGATTTATAAACTCGGTACCGTTATCCGAGCTTAAATATTGTGGACAGCCGTGGCGGCAATAAATTACGTCATGAAATGCTTTCGTGACG